TCTTTGGACGCTCATAACTCCTTTCAGATCGTCGTTCGGCAGCTAAAAAATCTATATTTGAAATCAGCGTCTGAAGGCGAATCCGATGGTATACAAATTGTTTGGGGTGGCTGGGTTAAGTTCTGACCATTTCCTGCTAAGCTTTGGTATGGAAGAAACGGGTCAGAAATTGTCGAACTTGGCAAAACTTTGGAAAGCCCCATAGTTTAGGATATCCGCAGCAGTTTACAGGGTCGCAGCACTTTGCAGGGTTTCACAGGTGGCTCTGGGGATGTTGCGAAAGTGCTGCGGAAGTTCCGTCTGCTGTCTGGTGGATGCAATAAAATTTATGAATAATCTAAGGACATATCAACAGAGATATCGCACGTATCTTGTTTTAGCGATATGACAATTCGTGGATGGGATCCTACTATTCGAGATCGATTTGAAAGTTGCCATTCGATAGCATCTTTTGCTCCAACATCGGAGCAATATTGCAAGGTAAGAGCTTCTGCCTTCCCGTAACATTTCTAAAATTTGGAGATTGATATTCAGGCTTTTACAATGTGCTGCTCTATGCAGTTCGACCCGAACAATGGTGACAAATGTCAGACCAACGAGCAACGATGTATTCCGCTCCAAGTGAGTCAAATCGAATAAACTTTGCAGTGCTTACTTCGCACTGAGAGCAAAAACAAATGTAGAATAGGCAGTGTTGTCTCTTTCACATCTCATGTCCTGACCTGTGTGTCAAAGCTACAATTTTCCTTTTTAAAAACTGCAAACGTTTACGTGGTGAAGCCTGAAAATTCTCACGCTTTTCTAAAAAAGGAGCACATGATAAACAGGGACTGTACATGTTGTTTCTGTTCGTGTTTTCTTGTCCGCTTACTCACAATCAAGCTCGAGGAACCTTAAAGCCGAACCTTGAGAGTGACCAGATTTTTTCGATGTTATATGATAGCGGAGCATCAAACTAAGCAGCGGCCAAAGAGCACAGCAAAAAATGGATTTCGAAGCGAAAAAAAAACCTCGTCAGAAGGTAGCAGCCCTACTCTGGCTCTACCCATCATCGCAGTTCTCCGAAGATGACAAGCAAAGGCTTTAGTGTGCCTAAAGTTGTCACACATCCGCCCTTCATGCGATTATCTGATTTCCGACATTTCTATCTACATTAACGCTCAATTTTTAACTCTTTATCTTCAGACCAGCCACGTTGATGGGCGGAGCCTGCGCGGCCGCTTCAACCTTCTGGAGCAGTTCTCTTGCTTCGAAGTTCATCTTTTTAAAGAGAGTCCCGGGCGATCGCTCAGTCAGGAACCCGCTTTTATACACTAGCACTAGCTGGGAAACCCGGCTCTGCTCGGCCCTGTAAATAATATATCCGCAATCAGCATGCTCACCCCTTTCCCGTGCCAACTCCCAACCCCTTAGCTTTGACTTTGCAATAAATCGATATAATCGATATCTTCGAAAAGTAACCTGTGACACTCGTCCCGCCCAAGGGTACGTGCGCAAAGTTTGTCCGGATCGGCACAGAATTAAAAATTTCTGTTCGGAACATACGTACATACTGACATACAGACAGACAAACAGACGTTCAGCTTTATATAAAGACTAAATCTCATCACCCCCATTTTGGGTGGAAGGTGCCTTTAAGCAATCTTACCATTTCTGAAAAGTCGACCCAACATTCTCTTGTAGTTCGTGAAAAGAATGCAAAGCAGAAAGAACCAACGTTAAGAGTCGACCTCTTGTGTTGTCTTTGGTATCTATCAATTCACGAATTTCACTAAAACTGCAGAATTT